GCCAAGATCCCGAGGGTGCCGGCCAAATCACATGCAGTCGGGACTGTTGCGCCGAGACGAGTTCGAGCTGCATTCGTGCGAAACAGACCTACTACTCACTGTAACAGTCAGTAGTGCGTCAGGTGAACTGGCAAAAAGAGGACTAGCCTGCGATCCACGAGCTCGTGTGACACGAGCGGGCCGGCCGCAAGTGGGCGGTTCGAGTCCCGCGGTTGGTGTCGATGAGGAGTGCATCTGGTGAATTTGCCGAGTCCGGAATGGGTGGACGGCGCCAACCTCGCAATCGGATGGCCAAAAGACAGTCTAGCCCGACAGCAAAGAGACGACTGCTGACTCACTCAGAGCAAGAGTCCATTCGTATGGTTGGCTCGACGAGGCATAATTAAAATTGAGTTGAAGAAGTGAACTGTAAAACGTGAAAGCATACCAACCGAGGCCAAATACTGTCCTCTGTGGGGTCACTGGAGATGAGGACTGGCTGTGCAAAGGGTGAAATGGCTGAATACACAAAAGCACATGGCGAGGAATACGGATTTGGATCGGAACTGCTGAATTTGCCCTTCACAAAGAAGATGAAATGTACGCTTATTCTGTGTGAGTGCGCATGTGTGTTCGTCCACTCTAACCTACATGTGTGTTGGCATGTCTATTTGGCTATACATATTTGTATACATGTATGCACACAAACGCATATACAGAGACATGTTTCTATACGCACATGGAGGCAGGAGAGATATTTGGAAAAGCTTTGAAAACACATTGAAACAATTCATAATTCGATCTTACCCCAAGACAAGCGTGCATTGCCTCGGTCTGTTGTTGTATGATTTGATCGGGACAGTGGGTATGTTTTCTGGAGGAAAGTATTGTGCTGCAAAGATATGGTCCGAGTTGAGCATAATTTCGCCAACAATTCAATGCCAATATTGAGTTTTTTCACCTACATGTTAGTCTGGAGTTGCCATATGAACGAGCTGCAGGATTGATTATGCCTGGCGTGTGGTAAAACAGACAAAAGTTTAGACTCTATGCATGTGAAGTGAAAAAGAGTGGCTCAAAGACTGCGATAACCTGCAAGTCTTCGTTTTCTAGAATTTGCCAAAATCCGTGTACCACAACTGCATTCGGGCTGATGAAGGAATAGTTCCACGTCTCGTCGAATGCGCCATCTCAGCGCCACCTGAGCAGAAAGATGATCCGTCGCTCGGACAAGAAGAAGCACCACCATCTCCCAGTCTGCAAAATAGTTTCACAGCGACTTGTACTTTCATGGAGAAAGTCGGTTGGAAGGAATTCGTGAAACGGTACCATCAGAAACCGAGAGAGGAGTGCTGTGTATTGGAGATGGGCGAATTGTCGTCTTTTGCGTCATGACAACCGTTACACACAATGACAATCAACTGAGTAGAGTGTACCAACTGGCCGAGCAACTCCCTCTCTCGACAATCGGAAGGAGGGGGTGGGGTGCGCGTTTCCAAAGCCTCCAGCCCCAATTATTCTCAAACCCATTTAGGATTTCTATCGGCCCAGACAAAGTGGATCAAATGAGGCCACCTTCGCTGATCAACAGCCGCGGCCACAGCCACACGGTCTTGTGCTTTCGGTGCACACACTTCCTCATTCAACACGGCTCAGGTCACAGTTGCTTCTAATCTCGTTGTGATTGGTTTCTAGGCCTGTTTGCATAGAAACGCGTTTTTCCACAACGCATCGTCCTACCAAGTTGTTTGCGCTGTCCAAGCACTCGGCCAAAGGGACGAATTTCGAGGAGACGGGAACTTTTGTGGCCAGAATATTGGGGATAAGAATGGCATTAACATGTAACTGAGGAAGGACGGAAGGAAGGATAGGTTTCTAAGACTCCCTCGGTCCACAAGTGTTGAGTGTAAGTGAGTCAATTGAGTCAAAAGGCGACGCCAGAATCTTCTTGGCCAATTATTGGTTGGCCTCACTGGAACATGCTGGTTGCTGGTACCTCGGACGAAAAGATGTTCAAAGTTCGCGTATCATCAGAGCTGGCCATCCGCTTACCAACCATATCCACAGTAACGAGTCAAGACAATTCATCCAAAATCTGTATCATTTTGACAGGGCACAGAATGATGCGGATAATTCAGGTAATATACCAATCTATTCTCAATTTTTCTGTAGTTATTAGGGCTTAAGAGACCATGGCGAATAGGATGGGTGCAGAAAGTTTGACAGAAAAACT